ACTGTGCGTTCAGAGATGCTCTTCTGCCTACCTTGGTTGTAACGGGTGGTTATTTGAGTCACTGTTGCCTTTCTATCAGCTCGAACCAGTCTGGCCGTTCTCCTCTGACCTCTGGCATCAACAAGGCATTTCCACCCACAGAACTGCCGCTCACTGGATATTTTTTCTTTTTCGGACCATTCTCTGTAAACCCTAGAGATGGTTGTGCGTGAAAATCCCAGTAGATCAGCAGTTTCTGAAATACTCAGACCAGCCCTTCTAGCACCAACAACCATGCCACGTTCAAAGCCCCTCAAATCACCTTTCTTCCCCATACTGATGCTCGGTTTGAACTGCAGGAGATTGTCTTGACCATGTCTACATGCCTAAATGCACTGAGTTGCCGCCATGTGATTGGCTGATTAGAAAAAAGTGTTAACGAGCAGTTGGACAGGTATACCTAATATAGTGGCCGGTGAGCGTATGCCACGAAGAATTGAGGCAGTTCTGAAGGCAAAAGTGGGTCCAACCCGTTACTAGCATGGTGTACCTAATAAAGTGGCTGTTGAGTGTATGGTTTCAGTCATAACAGCCCACCAAGGGAAACGGTAAGTAAAATGTGGCCCGTGACAAAAATGACTTTGACACCCCTGGTATACACAATCTGTAGCTTACTGCACAGGAATTCGTCATTTGGGTGAACCATTTTCTGTTCCAAGTTTGCTCCTTGATGTGACATATATCAGGGGCCCCATTCCTCTTTGCTCCAATGGTCTAATCGAGTCACTCACAGAGTAATAACTGAACTGGCAATGTCTGATTCACTACAATGATCATTGCGGAACTAACCTCGATATTTTCATTGTCCTTGTCTTTTCCTTGATAGGGTCTGGACCCCCTGCCGACCAGACAATGGTCATCGAGGAGTTCCGCTACCTCTCCCAGAAGCTATTTGTGTCCATGTCTGTGTTTTCTGGTTTGGGAATCCTGCTGGGCGTCATCTGCCTTACTTTCAATATCTACAACAGCAGCGTGAGGTAAATGAACTCACTCCTTCTGATGACTATCGAGCTCATTTTATTCTGCCATACTTGATGTTTTTTTTTTTTTTTGCAGTTGTAGATACCACTTACTTGTTTCAAACTTCACATGAACCCTTTCATGCGCCAAGAATGATAATCCGTAACCTGTCCACTGTAGTGACCGCGGTCTCTGAAAGGGTTAAAAATGGTGTAAATAGGGTTGAAGTCAACTTGAGATTTTGGAGACAGCTGAGATGTTGCTCGGGAACTTTCCGCAGAGTCTACTTTCCCACAAGTACTTCTCTCGTATGTCAGCGCGAGTACTTTTGCTACCTTTGCTTGAGGTCGACGTTTTACCTTCCGTCGGTTGTGCATCACACTGCGTGCATGAACGTGGTCCCGAGTTGGAGGCTGCGCTGCCGTCTTCCACCTGCCCGATATGAAACAACAGGAATGCACGTTTAACGATGGTGCGGGTTCAGTTAGACAGGGCTATGGCAAAATGTGGTACATTATTGAAGTGCCTTTTATTGCTTGTGGCAATTTGTTGAGGATCTCTAAATATTTGATGGGCATTATGTCATTAAGAGATTGCGCCTTCATATTGTTTTATGTTTAGTTTGGGTTCAAGCCCCAATTGTTTTGGTGGATCACAGACTTAGCATCTTTTTTTTGGGGCGGGGGGCTTCTTTATTGCGTTTTGACTGTTTTGGTTGACACTCATGCCTCTTTGGGGTGTCATTTTCAACTTGTACCTGGTAGAGCAAAGCTTTCACTGAGCTACTTGCTAGGCACCGACAAGAAACACAGTCAGTGGAATGAACATCGTGGAACAATAGGCAATTAAAAGGGGCAAGATATTTCCCAGCAGGCTTTGGAGTGGCTGGAAAAAAAAAAACAAAAATGAGAGTCATTGTTTTGTTTACATTCACCCATGATGACAAAGCGCAAAAGAATGATTATGTTAGTGGGAAATTGGATGTGCAAATGAGATACTTATTTAGCGGCTGGTTGGGAATACGAAAAGACGTTCTTCGGAGAAGTATCACATTGCTTTTGTTCCCGAGAAAACAAAATGTGAAACTCAACAGAGGTACCATTATTCACAAAGGCATGTGATGAAAATGTGTTTTTATGAATCTTTTTTTTTTTTCCTTTTCCCAATCACACACACAAGAGAGTTATTGCTCAATAGTTTCAAGCACAATCAGCGGACCAAATTTGCAAGTGCTGATCTATGACTATTCTTAGCCTTTTGCTTATTGCTTTTTTCATCCAAAACTCAAGTAGAGTCACTAATGCAACCAAAGCCGTCAAGAGGTGGATATAAAACGCAGCAAAAATACGGCACGAAGTGTTGACGTCACATTGTAGCTCGGCGGAATTGACTGTAACGGCAATGGCATAATGGGCGGCCCGGGGGTCGACTGGTTAGCACGTCGGTCTCACAGTGCGGAGGTGCAGGGTTTGATTACAGCTCTGGCCTCCCTGTGTGGAGTTTGCATGTTCTCCCCGTGCCTGCGTGGGTTTTCTCCGGGTACTCCGGTTTCCTCCCGCATTCCCAAAGCATGCATGGTAGGTTGACTGAACACTCTAAATTGTCCCTCAGTGTGATTGTGAGTGCAAATGGTTGTTTGTCTGTGTGTGCCCTGCGATTGGCTGGCAACCAGTTCAGGGTGTACCCCGCCTACTGCCCGAAAACGGCTGGGATCAGCTCCAGCACGCCCCACGGATCAGAAAATGGATGGATGGATGGATGGATGCGATGGCATCGTGACGTGATCACAACAACAAACTGCTTTGATTCATCTAATATATTCAACAAAAAGTAGCATGTTCACATTCATCCTCCACTAGTGTAACCCAAAAGTGGGAACAACCCCCCCCACCCCCAGGCCATAAAAAGCATCTCCTACCGATTTAAACCGTACTACGCAGTGGCCTTGGAGTCCTATCAGAATGCCTCTGATGTCTTCTCGATTCGCCTCGCAGCTCCTGGATTATTTGTGCCTGGTATCCGGGGGTTGCTATGATGGTTGGTAATGATGTAACAACAGTTCATAATACAAGACTGCGTCACAGATGCCTCGATAGGACAATGACAATGAGGAGCTTTGTGTGTGCGTGTGCGTCAGCAATGATGAGCCAAAGCTTTGTGATCGGATGAATATTGAATCAATGGTGTGTGCTTATGGAAAGTATTTAACGCCCTCAATGTTTTTTGGGTTTTGTTTTGTTTTTTTGGCTGCAGGTATATTCAGAATTCGCAACCGTACCTGAACAACATGACTGCAGTGGGCTGCATGATGGCTCTGGCTGCCATCTTCCCTCTGGGCATCGATGGACTTCATGTCCGCAGGAAGCATTTCCCCGTTGTCTGCCAGGTACACTTGAAACTCATCTCAAACCCCTGAATTTCCTTCCGAGCGAATGCACAGCATTCACACTGTTGCCATGGAGACGGGGCTTTATATAGACATTGAGATGGTAGCTTTTATCGGTGGCTTTGGGTCCCATAAGTGCAGTGAGGGAAATCCGGTCCTAACTATGTTGCAATGAGAGCGCGTTAGGCATCCTCGTGTGTTATGTAAAACGCATTAAGGGTGTGATATACGACCAAGATGTGTTCGTTCCGAGTGATTTTCCTTTGCAATGAAGACACAGAAAAATGTTTTTAAAATTCCAAAGGGTTTAATTCAAATAGAGATTGGGGGTGGGAATAATCAAATGTGACTTATAAATAAAGACAGAAACAAACTAGTGTAGTATTTAACTATCTTAAGCCCGTATCCCACTGAGTGGCGAACAAAAATACCCTTTCATGCACCAATAAGGACAACCTGTAACCTGATAACATGATAAGCTGTCCACTGTAGTAACCGCTGTCCCTGAAAGAGTTAAACTGGTAAACAGCAAATTTTATGCAGCTAGCCTGATGTGTCCCGATACATATTTTTGTTGCTGATTTCCTATCATAAAGAGGTTTAAGATATTTTCATATTTTGTTTTTAAGACTGACCTATAAAAACTCATGCAATGCAGATTTTTACCATGCCTTGCAATTTATAGCTGTGATGTTTCAGAAAACAACAGTGTCTCTTGCTGAACCTAACCCTTAATACATAAACCTTAGTGAATATATGACTAAATTGCTCATGAAATCTAACGTGCAAGAGAAAGAATTGAGGACAGATTCAGAATCAGCACGGGGGAAAAAAATCGAGAAAGGTTTTCTTGCTTCTCTGATTAAAACGGTTTGTAAAAATGTATTTACCAAGACATTGAAACAATAAAACATGTACTTGGCCATTTCTTTGGAAGTGTAACGGTTCCAGAACACAATCGGACGCTAGAAACGTGGAATCATTGATTCTACAAAAATACGCAAAAACAATCAAATGACAAAATGCAAAAGGCAAGGAAAGTATTACGTAAATAGCTTGTCGTAAAAATACAACAAATGAGCCAAACCATAACAGATACAAAATCGAGACTATAATTCCACAATAAAAATACCTACGATCAGAATGCAAAAACCAGAAACGACGTGGCATGAATAAGAAAGAATGTCGAGAGAATTCAACACTTGGAGACAGTCATAAGCGAATAATCTGACGAAGGTTTAACTACATAGCTAATTGAGATATGCAGCAGGTGTGCATGCTGAAGGGAAGGCACCCCTCTGCCACCTACCTGGAGACACACAAAAACAGAATCATGACAGGGAGTGAAGCTGAAATTTCTCTTGCAAAGACACATCTTACTTGACAGATGTGTTTGGCAAATGTAAAGCATATTTTTCACTTGCCGCCCCCTTTAAAATGTGAACGTAGCTCAGTTTGTCCCATTCGTATGAATCCTTAGGAAACACAATTTTGACCACCAACTGATTATTATAGATATTTACAAATATTAACTTCAAAACATTTGGAATAAAAGTAAGCCACTGAAAATCTAGAACACACATATAAAAGATAATTTTCAGTCCTAAGTCCAAGTGAGTGAACTGGAGTTGCAGGAAAGTTTCTGGCTAGCTAATGACTCGCAGTTTTGTATTCATGAAATGTTTGGCCTAGCGCTAGCGCATAACTCAGGTGAAAGAAATTAAGGTTTGTTTACAGGATACATCTTTAATCACTGGGCTCAGGGGTAGGTCGATTTTCATTTTAATGTTTAAACAGAGCCAAAGGCATTACAGGGCTAATCCGCACCCTGACTGCAGTGCTCCACTAAGTAATCAACTAAATTATTAAATACATCCTTACAGATTGTTGACGGGGTGGGGTGGGGGAGTACAAAACATGCATCAAACACTATCACAGTACTACGCAATTTTCTATTCCAATTCAATGCTGTTTATGTCAACTGAAAACAAGTAATCTACCAAAATAGCAGAAGCAATTATGACCAAATCCATTAGTGACATTTTATTAGTATTGATGCCCGATGAGGATTAACCCCCGACCCTCCCCCAAACAAAAATATATACTGATTTTGACTTCCGAAGCATTTTCATATGGAGTAATGATTTTGTTTTATGATCGGATACTTTAATCTATCTTGATTAATTTAGGAATGCATATATGTCAAGAAATAATAAATAATAATAAAGAATATAATAAATAGTTTATATGTGTATACAGTTTCACTCTTCTATGAAAAACATATTTGTTAATTTTTGTCATTTAAAAAAAAAATTACTCAACTGTATTTATAGAGCACTTTAAAACAACCACCGCTGTATACAAAGTGCGAGGCCAGTTAAAGATTTGAAAACAAATAATAGAATTTTAAAAGAACTCTATGCTGCTTTAAAAGAACTCTATACTGAGCAGCAGCATTTTGGACCAACTGGAGATGCTTGATGGAGGATTGGCAGACTCCAAGGCACATTAGAGTCATCCAGACAAGAAGTGACAAAGGCATGAATTACTTTTACAAAGTGCTCTTGAGAAAGGAGAGTCTTTAGCCAGCTGCCTAAGATAAAAGAAGCTGGATTTAACAACGCCACCAATTCCTAACTTCCCCTTTAAATGTGGGAACACGTCCCGGCAGGGCAGATAGCAATTGTGTAGAAAAAAGAAAAAAAAAAAACAAAGCGGTTGTCTTGAAGATTAAACAGCTCACTTTTCGTTGTGCTTTTAAATCTTTTTTTTTTTTCCGCTCTGTTGTATGGCGCAGCCAGGACAGAGGCTTGACACTGCTTTTCCATGTAGCTCATCGGTTTTACGGTTCAATTATAGTTCTCCCCTTCGCTCTCACTGGGACCCTTCTGTGATGGCATCACAAAGCGCGTGCACGCGCACACACAAGCAAAAGCTAAATATACCTACATCGTAAATCCTTTAGATGCTCGCTAAGCTTGAAGTCTCATGAGATACTGAAAGTCTGACTTCACACAGATGATGATGATGATTGAACACGTTTTGTGCAATTGTTAAGGTTAGTTTTTTTTTTCTTTCATGTAGGTTGTATTTCTAATTTCACAACCTATAGAGTGTTTGACGAAAGAGGAAGAATCTCCATTGGTGCCCAGGGGAACCAATTAGCCCCCTAACAACCACAAGAGTAACCCGTAGGCCTGTTCCAAAAATAGCTTCCCGGTAATGGGACATTGTGATTTTCTAGGATTGTTTTACAAGTGACACTTGAGAGTAGGGATGGGTACTGACCTCCGGGACTAAACTGGCCTCGAGACTGAACTTTTAAAAACTGCAGTATTGATGAGCTCCACCCTTAAAGCTTCTGTTAATGGTCTTGGAGAAATTGCTCATATTAAGTTTCAATTTATTTAGGTTATATGAATGTTGTTTTGCACCTTTGACCTCAGCCAAATCAGTGAGATTTTACGAACCTACACTCACGTAGCGTAAAATGGCTCCGGACAGAACTCGGAAAGAATTGACAAAAAACAAAAATAGGTCGCAAGACCGACAAAGACCAAAAACGTTTGCAAAAAAGGCAAGGATAAAAACAAACGGAAATTGCCTGTCAATAAATAGACGAGAAGAAAAACAAACGCGTGGAATATAAAAACCGTGACTCCCACGAAAAACTATTGACAAAGGTAAGTGCAGAAAACCTGGCAGGAACAAAAACAAAGAGCAAGAACATGGAAAGTCTAAATGAATTCAACACTTGGTGACAGTCGTGAGGAAGGCAAATTATCCGACGGAGACACGACAACACGGGAGTCCTTCAATCGTCGGCTGATTACAATGTCAGCAGGTGTGCGAGCTGGAGGGACGGCCCTCCTCTGCCACCTGCTGGAGAAACACAAGAACAGGATCATGACATTTACATTGGGTTAGCTCGGGTTGCTACGAATGTAGCATCCGTGCGTTTCACTCTCAAGACATGACTAATCGATTTACACTCAATGCAACTGTTACACGAACATCATTTGGTTATTCTTGGTTTGAGTGGTCATGCTTGGAAGGATTTTTTTTTTTCTTTCCGGGCTGCCGTCATCACTTTAACTTGGTGAAAATTGTTTCGAAATATCAGAAGCGGGGACACATTATTAGTGTTGATTTGTAAAAAAAATATTAACTTGACCATAGTTGGAAGTTTCTGCCAGACAGCGATAAGATGTCTCTTTCACCTCACTGAAATGCTTTTTGCAACCTAACTGCATGTGACAGCTTTGTTTCTTTCCATTCATTTTTTAAAGCTCAATAATTGTTTATGTCATGTTTAACAGTATCACAGAATTTTTTTTCACAACCCTTTTTTTTTTTTTTTTTTGTCATTGTATTTGCAGGACAAGTATTTTATTTTTTATTTTTTTTAAACAAAGTTAATTCAAATAATTTTGTTTTGGTGTTTTTCTAAGCTAAAATAAGTCCCGATAAAAATGCCATTCAAGTACCGGCTCGATAAGCAATATTAGTAGTAGTATCATTAAAACCCATTTGTGAGTGAATTTCATTATCGGGTTAGTTTGTCCTGTTTTACTTTTGTAAATATTCAACTATTTCTTTTTTATGCATTGAAAACATTCACCCTTTTGTGCACCCTGTGACCTAATGATAAGCTGTCCGCTGTCGCAACCGCTGTCCCTGAAAGGGTTAAATATTTGATTATGAATAGCCTAGCCAAGAAATAGAGCCTTTAATTGAAGTGAAAGTGACCTCAACGCTTGTGTCGGTGTCACAGCTGTCCCCTGAGACCGAGAGGGAAACTAATGAAATTGTAAAACGACCCTCTTATCTAAAGCAGATACAGTAATTACCTTGGCCATCTTCATTTCGTTCCTAATTGAAGGTCTTCCCTTGCGTTCCCCACGACCGCAGCAAAACCAGATACACAATGCAGGTAACAGAGTCAGAGACCCTCTGAGAAGTTTTCATTTCATTTCAAGGTCACTTTGCAAAGTCTATTAAACTCCGACCGGGCTTAATGATGGCAAGTGTCTGTGAAACTGATTTGGTTAATTTGTGGTATATATATGAAGCCAAGATTCCGAGGTCATTTAATATCGATGTTTCTCCCACAGTTTCGACTTTGGCTGCTGGGTCTGGGTTTCAGCCTTGCATACGGCAGCATGTTCACCAAAATCTGGTGGGTTCACACAGTCTTCACCAAGAAGGATGAGAAGAAGGATAAGAAGAAGGTAATTGTGAAAGGGAAGCCGGAGCTGGGATTGACTGCACGTGTGTTCCAGGGGAAGTTAAGTCTCGCCCAAGCTCCTCCACCGAGCAGCGGCGTTCAGTTTTATTTAATCATCTCCTTCAAGGGCAAGCTCCCTCGACAGAGATGATTTACCCCCCCCCCCCCGCCCGCCAATCAGCTGTTATCTTTTTACCTTTACTCACACTCCACTTTTACAATTGGCCCACGACTTGCCCTTGAGCGTTCTCTGTCATCTATTTGTCCTTCTGCCAAGCCAACAAACTCTTCCAATTGGTCCCAACGGCCACATCCTCGTTCCATCTCACGGCGATTTTCGCGGTCGATGGGAATATCTTAGAGGATGATCCTGCTGTGACTCAAGAGCAAGACTCCTCCCAGTGAAGAGATGCGGCGCCTTGCTGAATATTTATGAATAGCCTTCGCTTTGCAAAGTCAATCGGTGGGGGTTCTATTACTGAGCTGTGACAAAACTCATGGGGTGTACATTAATACACTTCTGTCTCACGCTCCAATTGCTGTAAACACGGGAGGAAATGCTCATTGCATCGCCATATGTATTAAAAAAATAAAAAAATAAATCTGCTGCAGTTTCATTTGATGGCGCTGCCGTTATTTAGGTAGTGACTTTAACCCTTTCATGCACCCTGTAACTTTATAACACGATAAGCTGATTCAATGAAGTACATATTTGTCCGATCACTGTATTTTATTTTTTTACTCAACATAGTTGGCAGGTATTAAAACATTCTAAAAAAAAATAAAAACGTACATCATGACAGTCACACGTTGACTACTGAGCAAACTAAATTTACCGCAGCACCGATTGGACAAGCAATGTCATGTGATCATCTGCAACCAGCGATGGCCAAGTGGGCGTGGCTTAACTAATTGACATCTTGAGTCGGGTGTGTCTTAACCTCCATGGTGGAAGCTTCGTCGAACCCCTGACCGATTCACCGAACCCAGGTTAAGAACCACCGCACTAGTCTATTGGACAAAGTAAAATATTATTATCCAAAATAATTGTGACCGATCCGATGAGCGAGGTTTTGGGAAAAAAAATAAAAAAATACCAATGTGATTTCCATAAATACATGTACTGTTTAAGAGGTGACTCAAAATGCATCCACTGTACTCCATAAACTAGATAGATTTGTCACCCATGGTTTTTTTTTAATCTTTTATTTTTACATATTGCAATTGAGATTGAATATGCAAATATTTTTTCAATCTGCTCTTCCCATGTATTTATTTATTTTATTTGTTTATTTTATTTTTTTTACAAAGACGAGAAATAAATTAACCTGCTGTGCAATAAACAATATCTGATTCGTGAAAAAAATGTTTTGGTCTTATAGGGTAGTTTTACACTAAAGCAAAGGCAAAGGAACCATGAATGAATATGAAAGGTTTTTTTTTTTTTTTTTTTATATAGATTTATTTTTCTATTTGGTTAATCTACTAAACACGTCCACAACGATTGCATTTTCTTTTGCACTCTCCCCGGCGTCGCTGACAATTTGGCGGCTGAAAGTAGACTAAACTGCTGCAAGCAGGTCTAAGTTGTGGTGCAGGTGATGGAATGTGATTTTTGGTGAATTTCATCAACGTAAAGGCTGACAGATTCTGAGCTCTGTGGACACGTGTGGTGGATATTTAATTCGTAAATACGATAACGGCGTGTAAAGAACCCTTTGAATGATGCAACGCGAGAGCTACATGTGACAAAAGATGCTCCACCAACTGATTCTCATTCTTCTATATGACATACTTTAAAGACACCCACAACAGAATTTTTATGAACCTTCATTGGACACTCGAGTAGCGAGTATGAATCATTTTAGGTGATGACGTCATTGTCAGAGCTCAACCTCTCAAAATGACGGACGGCTGTGGTCAGTCTAATAGTTTCAAAATCCTCGTTGTCTATGTGTTAGCACAATAGGCCCTATTTTCATTGCCAGTGCAAGTCTAGCACGAAGTGCAGTGTAACTGTGCACCTGCGTGTAGTTTGCGTCTTTTGGTATTTTGTTCGACTTTGCACAAGTAGAACGGGGCATCATGGGGCGTTTGCACCGTTGGGCGCCATTATGGGATGGAACGTAGGCGAGTCCCGGCCACATCCCATATTTGTATTAAAATCAGAGCGGTTGGAGCGCACGCCAGGAATGACATTGCAGAAACAGATAAAAACTCACTGGGGTCCATGCATAATATTGGCACGTAAACTGCAAGATCTCCCCTTGCAGATGATGTTGTCGGTCGTGCATGTTGGATACCGCATTGCACCCATGCCCAGTGCGTCCGTATGGGTGTGGGTGTGGATTTGTTTCTACGCCGAGCGCACGGGCACCTGCCGACAAAAAAAAAAAAAAAAAAAGGGCCCAACATACGATAACAGCGACTTGCAACAGCGGCTTGTGTCGCAACTGATCCTCAATATCCACTGATTTCATTTTTTTTTTCCTATCTGCATAACCAGAGACCTTGATCATGTCGAGCAATGCACCAAATCAATCCCCACTTTATTAAATGGGACCTGATCCAAGAAAATCATTCTATTCTTAATCACAGCACCACAAAGCAACACCTGTTTTTCTGTGGAAAAATCCGGTCGGGTGTGCATTCCCATTTGGATGTCTTTTTGTCTCGTTGCTGTCATGGCTCAGTGCTTTGAGGGCAGATTGAATTGGCCTCAGTTAGTGATGGATCATTGTTTCTGGAGCGGCTCTGGCGGCTCTGTTTGTGGCTTCATAAATCCCTCTTTCACGACATTAGATAAAAGAGAGAGAGAGAATTTGTGCCTTTTCCTGACCCTTGCTGTGTCCCCGCAGCACCTGGAGCCATGGAAACTCTACGCAACTGTCGGCGTCCTGCTTGGCATCGACTTCTTGTCTCTCATGATCTGGCAGATTGTGGATCCGTTACATATCACGGTGGAGGTAACTGTATGATTATCAAGACATCATGCAATCTGTTGTAGATGTGAGCAAGAAAACAACAACTCATAGTTTAAAAAAAAAAATAAAAAATACAATACAATATTCATGTCTGATGATGATGTTGTTGGCATGTGCACAGAAGTTCACCCGAGAAGCCCCAAAAGGAGACCTGGATGTTTTAATCCAACCATTATTGGAGCACTGCAGCTCGGAAAAAATGAACACCTGGCTCGGTAGGTTGAAATACAAGACATTTCTGACTTTCGGAACTGAACTGAACGGGATATTTTGCGCCATTTTATGAAGCAAGAACCATCCATTTTGGAATCCCAACTCAATCGCCCCTCGCCTGCCTCTCACAAAGCCAGTTGAAAGCAGAATGATCCAAACATGTTGAGCTGGTCGGTTACGCGCTCACATCACTATAATTGCTTCAAATGTATGATATTGACAAAGTTACAAAGATAATACTTTTATTACAGTTAGATATTATAAAATATGAAAGGGGGAAAAAAAAATCCACAATGCCATGTGAGATGAACTAGTCGAGCTTCCAAAGCCCATCGAATTTGCTTACCGTATTTTCACGACTATAAGGCGCCATTAAAAGTCTGAAATTTTCTCCAAAATGGACAGTACGCCTTATAATGCGGTGCGTGTTATGTATGCGCCGAGTTCCAAAACCGGACTGAGAGCACCTCTGGCCGACACGCTGTTTATAAAGAGAAAAGGTGGACGTGAGTGACGACAGGCATGCGGAAGTCGGCCAATGAGTGAAGGGTGGGCGTGTAAGAGGACGCTAAAGACACGTCCCAAGCAGGTACCAGTCGCCAATGAGTGAAGGGTAGGCGAGTAATAGGACGCTAAAGCCACACCCCTAGCAGGTACTAGTCGCGTGAGTACATTGTAAAATGGCTAAATAAAGTACAACCGAACTCAGTTTTGCTTCCGTTGCCTTTTTAAAAACGTGTTTTTAGCGTGTGTCCGTATGTCTTAGCTGCTACCGTATGCTTTAAGCTAACATACCTGGTATGTTTTAGCGTGAATGCATGCTCCCGAATGCTTCAAGCTAACGTATTTTTAGCGTGCGTGCATGCATGCCGTATGGTTAATAATTTATGCTGGCGTATGTTTTACCATGCCTGGCTGCGCCCAATAATACAGTGCGTTTTGTGTATGTGTCAAATACAGAAATAGCACCCGTTACTGAGACTGCGCCCAACAATACGGTGCGCCGAATGGTCGTGAAAATACAGTACTTATTTTTATCTGGTTCTTTACCCCGATACTTAAAGGTTTTTCCAATAATAGCACAAGATTGTTTTTTCTCTCTTTATTTTACGAAGCGGGTGTAAGATTTTTTTTTTTTGGAGGATTTGTGATACCACCTGAGACTCAACTAAGGATACAATTATCACTCTAGTTGCCAAACAACCTAACTAAAGATATAAAAAAAAACTAATAAT